ACATAAATTATTTGTCATCTAACCTGCAGCAACAGAAGTCACACTAATTTTACTGAAATTTAATATAAACATACCAAAATGTACCTCTTTTGCTTACTTTATTTAATAAAGAGTTTTGATAGTATTTATAATTATTATTTTCCCAATAATCAGAAAGTCAAAATTATTTGATGGCACGCGAATGACCCCATTAAACTTTTTTTTTTAGAAAAAATGGCACGTTGATGCATAAAGGTTCGCCTACCCTGCCTTAGTATTAGTTTTGCCGTGTCTCATGTTCAATAGGAGGATCGCAATTCCTTTGAGCCAATTTGCTGACTGAATGTTAGCTGTCTGGTCTTGTCGTTACCGCCAAATACATCAACGCGCCAATAAGGGACTTGATTCTGCAGCATTTACTTTTTCACACTCAGTTGTAGTACATTAAATCTTGAAGCCAGGATCAAGAGGCGTAGACGCCCTGCGACATTGCTTTATGCCATACTGCTTTAACAAATTTGGAACGCATTGAGAGTGACCAACAGATATGCCGCCTATGCTGCCAACACGCTCAATTTTCATTCAAAGGAAATTCTGAACTCTGCCTTTATCTACAATATTGAAGCTCTCAGCGATTTGTCTCTATCGCCAATAAGGTCTGTCTCGCTCGAACATGCTACGATAATGTCTTCAAACAGCAATGAAATTGTATTTTTATCAACATTCTTATTATAACTGCATGTTTCATTCTGACACTGCTTAAAACCAATGGATTTCAAAGTGGTGTCCAACCTACGGTTTCACTCTCTGCCAGACAGCTTTACACTATATATTTCTTCTGGTTGTTCCTTATATGCTTATTGTCTAGCTCGCTGGTGAGATACGCCGTTGATACATCCAGTTGATGCATATGTATTTTCTTTTCTGCTGTCAATGCAAACAGCATCCGTATTGTAGCATAACATGCAACACGTGAAAATGTTTCTTTGTAGTCAACGCCATACTGCTGACTACATCCCTTAGCAATTAACCTCGCTTGTATCGCTCAATGTTTCCATCGCCTATTTTTCGTTTTCCAATTGGCAAATCAGCTAATATCCATGTTTGTTTTTTAATAACAGAATCGTACTCTTTGTTCATCACCTCTCGCCAGCGTTTACAAGTTTTGTTTGACATTGCTTCTTTTACAGTGCTCAGTATCTTGCCATCGCTATTTGCTAATTTTACCACATGGAACTGTTTTTTGGGACGGCCAGGTTTCCCAGTACGAAAAATTCATTGTTTTCCATTTGCACTGCTTCATTTGTGTTCCCGCTATCGTCAAGTACTTCAGTTTCTTCGCCTTTTTCACTTTCTGCTTCTTCTGAAACTGTTTCATATTGCTCCTCCTCAAGATGAACTTTTGCTTCCTCTTTGAGGTTTGAACTTTCTTGCTAACTACGCGACTTATTTGGTATTGTTGGTATTTCATATGATACTCGTTCTGTCTCTTTTTCTCGTATGCTGCCTGTTGAAACTTCATCAAAGATGACATCCGAACTTTAGCTGTCAAAGAGAAATCAACAAACATATACTCACACGACACTTATGGTGTTGACTTTTATCTAGACCAACTGCTTTTGAACCAAATATTCTAAAATTACGTACATTTGGCTTATAACGCGTCCAAACCTCATATGGTGTTTTATACTCAAGTTGTCTAGTAACTGAGCGATTACGGATATATCGGTATGAAATGCTTTTTTGTGAAAATGAAATACTAATTTTGAATGTAAAAGCATTGCTTTTTGCAATCTCTGACCACCTTTTTGGCAATTTGTGGATACCATGCCAATTGAAATCTTCGTCTTTTGAAGCAAACCAATCAGACATCCAATTTTCGACTTCTGCGTAGGAATCGAAGTGCTGCTCAGCCAATGCGTATCCCATCGATGAAAACAAATGGTAATCTCACATCAAAATCATTATATCTGAACCGTTGAAACCATCTTTTGCATGTTGCTTCTGATAGAGCATGATCACTAAGATCGACAAGCATTCGATGCCACTCTGCATTCAAATGGAAACAAAAAATTAATGCTTTCAGCAATCATCACTTTCTGGTACAAATTTGACATTTTCAACACAATAAAAAAATTTTATGTTGTTTGTTCAATGACTGTAAGGTTATTGAATATGTTTGACAGATGTTAAGCCAACCAAACAGAAAAAAAATTAAGGCTCGTTCACAAAAAATGTTCCCTACCAACACATTCTCTTCTTAACGCGCACCTATACACCTGGTAGACCTCAGTTGCAACAACTTCAGCCCATAACGACTCAAAAAGTTCAGCCTGCACAAGCGCACTGTGAGCCATCTCTACGTTCGTACCATTTGCGCATTCTGCTTCTCCGTTCTGTTGAGGAGTATAGGGAACCATCGAACTCATGGCTGACATACTTAGTGCCATTGACACTCCTCAGCACCTTAATTCATTTCTCTGTTTGACATTCTATTAGACTTTTAAACTTTTTGTATTTTTCTAGCGACTCATTTTTATATTTCAAAAAATAAACAAACATGCGTTTAGATTTGCGTCTATGAAAGTTGTAAAATAACCACCGAGCACCATCGAGATACACTTTTGGCATGGACCTACATATATCAGAGTGAATTATGTCTAACAAACTCTCAAAACTATGCTCAATGCTTTTTTGAAATGGCTTTGCGCTTATTTTTTTCCCCACATACGTCACAGTTTATGTTTTTGGTAAACTTTTTAAATCTAACCCATTTCTTATAGGAAAGTTCTCTTAGGCTTGAAAAATTTAAGTGTCAATAGCGTGTATGTCAAATCATAGCATTCTCTTCTGCTGCACTGAAACGCGAATGCACACTACTCTTGCAGTCATAAATATAAAGATTATTTCTCTTTGAAGCTTTTAACATAGCATCGCATTTTTGGTTTCTTATAATCGCACAGTCCTTATCAAAACTTACAGTCATACAATTAGTTATTGTTTTTCCAACAAATGAAGTTTCTCGTAATAGTCGGCACAAATAACATATATTTTGCAGTTTGCATTAATTACGACCGTCTCAACACCTGCAGAGTTTACGTATTTTTTTGGATATTCCGTACAGTTTATATATATTCCGACATAGGCTCTGGGCTCATAACCAGTTGTGAATTTTACCGCAGTGAGCCGGAATGAAAAAAAAGACTCCAGACCGATTAATTCGACAGTTTATTAGAAACTAAAATCATTAATTCCAGATGTCTGCTTCCAAAGTTAAATTTGGTATGTAACTGAAAATCGTTGTTGTTGTAAGGAGAAAAATCATAAAATACATGTTATCCGTGGTTCTCCGATGTTCAACAGCAAGTGAAAAGTAAAGACTAAAAACCACAACAATTGAAAAGTAAAGACTACAAATCACTCATTATTCCCGTCCTGCTATATGGTATGTATAGTGCAGAAGGGTGTACGATGTCGACATCCGATGAGTTGGCATTAGGAAGGCAACACTGTTAAACCTGTTGAAAATCGCAATACCATAAAAAGTCTTCAACCTTTTTTTTTGACGGTTTGAGTTAATGTTAATAATACCGAATGTCAAAACTTTACCCAAAAAGCAGTTAAGTTAGAAAACGAAATAGCCCACAAATTAAGATATGATACTGTAATTTGGTACACGAAATCGCAGCAGTGAGACGAATGGCCAGTGCCTACGGCTAACATTTTACCGAAAATATCGGTCAATATGTGAGTTATCTTAATGAAATTCAGGGACAGTATTTTGCCTAAAATTAATAAAATCTGGTGAATACTTCCTCTAGGTCACATTTACTTAATATAAGGTTAACGTTGCACCATTGGGGTTTCTTAATTAAAGTCAGAGAGTATTTTTTCTTGAATCAATATGTCATGGTGGACCCAAAATCTTTCAATACTTCTCTCCTGTTTATAAGCCCTGATGTTGGATAGGCTACGCTTTTTTTTAAGCCCAAGGCCACGAACAAATTAAGGACACTGCGATGTTTAAGCGATAAGGTCCGCAAAGCAGAAAAGAGTTATAAGCAAAAAAATAATAATAACGTTTTATTGTTGTACCTTTGCAGAATATGTAGATATGGTAACACTTATTATTAGTTAGAATGCAGCATTTTGTAAATAGTTCGAATTTAATTCAAATTTAATTATGACTTAAAACGAGTTTTAAAATAGTTTTTAGAGGAGAGTCAGTGGATATAAAAATCTGCAAAAAATGGAAAATTTATTATAAGTCGAAAAATAACCTACGTACTTAAAATTGTTAAATTTATGAACTTTAAATACAAATATCTTATAAACTTTAGATGTTGGGATTAAAAATTAGATTAGATTTTCATTATTTAAACCCGTTAGGAGTAAAATATAGATTTATAATTTCAAAACTTTATTTTTATTTTTTAATTTTAATGTGTAAGTTTGCCGACCAGTGTTGTAGAGTATTGAAAATGATGTCTCTGTGAGAGCTCTAGTTTAAAACACAAAACACGCAAACGCGAATAAATGTTAATTCTAAAACCAATTTTTTTTTTTAATTCTAAATAATATCTTTAGGATTAAAATTTTGGTTTTTTTTATTTCTCAATCCGGTATTTGGAAATGGTTAAAAATAAATACTAAAACCGGTTTGTGCGGTTTTTTCCGTTAATCGCGTATTTGGATTAAATTTTTTTTATTTTTTAATCCGGTATTTGGGATTAAAATTTTTGTTTTAGTTTTTAATCCAGTATTTGATATCACAAAATTAAAAAAATTGAATCTAATGGTTATTCAATTCTTTTTTAATACGTTATTTGTAACCCCGGCTTCGGTTATATGCATATATATAATATATATATATGTTATATACATGTATATGGAGAACATCCTTTATTAGCATATACCAATTTTACCCCTAATTCAGGGATGCTATTCTAAAATTTTCCCAGAAAAAAAAACAATAATATTAAACTAACTTTTAAATATATGTTAATTATAATCTTTCACAGAACTATATCAAGGCAAAACGATATTTTGTGGGTGAACCAATTTGGCAACCATACAATCGACCATCTGATAATATGGAATGTCGTCAAAAATATTTAAGTCATCAAGCAAACGGATTTGGACCAATTACTAATATTGAATAAATTGATGAGTTATTTTATATTTAGTTTTTTTTTCAACATCAAATAAACAGTTCAACTTTAAAAACATAAATAGTATGAATATGAAATAATGCATTTACTTTTTGCTCCAAATAAAATTCACATAATTTTCTTTGTACTTATAAAATGGAGTATTGTGTTGTAGAACGTAAAGTAAAGATGTGTCTGGTAACTCCACTATCACCATTACTTTTTCATTGGGAAATCACAAAAGAATTACCCCCATAAGGTCAACATTCAGCGTACCAGGGAAACCAGCAACAAAATTGACCACATTGATTAATGCCGTGCATTCATCTCTCAAATACGCATACTCGTCGTCGAATACGACTTCTTATCTTAATATTTTAAAGTGGAAATAATATCGAAAAAGTGAAAGTTTCCATTGATTGTCTGAAGTAAGTTTTTATCACACCTCCTACGAACATCTAAGAGCTGTCCTCCTCTTTATTGTATATATATTATATTTAAATTTTTATATATACATACAGTGAGTACATTTAAAAAATTATAAAATTATTAGAAATTAGTACTTTGTGTGATAACCTCTTTGATTTTAACCTATTCGGTATAGATTCCACCAAGTTTTTAGTATCTGGAAGATATTTTTTCCCACTCTTCCATTAGGGCAGTCTTGCGATCATTTATAGAGGAATATTATACTATCGTTCACAAGTACGGACGTGTTTTGCTAGTGGTCTAATTTACGCAACACAACAAGGACTAAGAAAGTGATTTTACTCCTCAAGTGCGCGAAAACCGGCAAGAAAGTCTGTTTCAAGAAACAAAGATTCAGGCAGACATTGAACAAAACTACCACCTAATTGCCAATCGATTGGATAAAGAGAAAAAGAGTTATTACACGTATCAGCTGAAAAGCGCCAAAGGCGTGGTAGTTGTAATAAAAGGCAAAGATAGCTCTGTGTCTACTGATGACATGAAGAGCGCGCTAGAAGAAGAGGGTTACGGTGTAAGATCGGTGCACAATATTTAAAATAAGAATAAGGTCTCCCAACCAATGCACCGAGTAGAGATCGCGTTCGATGCATTGCACGTAAAATCGAAAAACTCCCATATCCCATGTATACAATAACTTGCGATATCTTCTAAACAGAAGAATTACCGTCGAAGAGCCCCTAAAACGTAAGGGTCTGGTGCAGTGAACTAATTGTCAAGAATTTGGGCATACGAAGGCTTATTGTAAGCTACCATTGGTTTGCGTGATTTGCTGCGCTGCTTATAGCACTTCAGAATGCTTGCACGCCAAAAATGACAACAAAATCAAAAAATTCAGTAATTGCGGATAAAACCCGGACCGCAAATTACAGGGGCTGTAAGGTGTACACGCACATTATGAAATTAAAAGTAGTACATAATTCCGCACATATGAACTATAAGAAAGCTCAATTTTCTTGCCCCTACACTGGCTCTGTTGCTAGTACTCAACATAGTAACCAAACGTTTACTATGCTAAAGCATTAAGGCAGTAAAAATGCCACATTTTAGTGGTAAGCAAAATAATTTAAACACACAAAAATTTGCTGACGCCAATGCTGTAAAAGATGATCACAGGTTAATAGTAATTCGACCTCAATCGATAACCTTATACAGACAATAAATAGTTTTATGTCTAATATGAAAAGTATGTTCCAGCAGATGATGAAAACTCAAAACATGCTTCTGCAAATTTTACTTAGTAAAAAAATTAACCAACTGAAAATATGTTACTGGAACGCGAATGGGCTATCCCAACATAAACTCGAAGTTGAACAATCTTTGAAAACAGAAGGTATCGACATACTTCTGGTCTCGGAAACACACTTTACCGATAAAAAAAAAACTGCTTTAGAAGCAAAAGCTACTACTCAATGATAGTACCAATCTAAGTGGAAGGCATGCGGTAGTAGCGCCATTATTGTGGAGAAAAATGTGAGGCATTCCCCCATGCCGGAATTTAATGAAAAATTTATCCAAGCCACAACTACAAATATATTATATTCAAATATCGCAATTTCATCTGTTTACTGCCCCAAGGACACACAATTTAACTAGTCAGGTTTCAAACGTTTTTTGCTTCGCTTGGTCAAAAATTTATTGCAGCTGGTGACTACAACGCTAAACATACCTCGACGTTGCCTCGTGCGGAACACCGACTTACTGGCCAACGAACTTTACAGATTTTATTGATTTTTCGGTTGTTAAAAGCATTAAACACAACGAGTACACAGATACTTCATAATACGACTAACCATCTGATCACTCACCTACAATTCTCACCCTGCACAACTATTTTATCATAGAACGTGAACAATTGCATTTCTACCCAAACAGAAACAGGGACTGGTTAAAATACAAAATGTATCTAAGTTTCCGCCTCCCACAGAACATTACTCTGAGAAATGCAGTAAATATTCAGTCAGCTATCGAGCACCTCACTGAAACCATGAGCAGCTGAAAAGAAAATCCGAACTCGCAAACTACCTTCAGAATTTGGATATAACAAAGAACACAAATTATAGTCTGTGGAAAGCCGTAAGGCACATGAAACGTCCTATCACTCACGAATCACCTTTGAGATTGGAAAACCACACTTGGGGCAAAACCACCAGCGAAAAAGTTAACGCTTTTGCAAACAGTCTGGAGAAGATCTTCACATCACACGACACAAATGCTCATGTCAGCCCACCAAACATAAGTAATGTTGTGAACGCACCTATAAAATTTCGGCTTTCTCACGTACAGGTCGCTTTTAAAAACCTTGAAAAAGTCGACAGGGCCAGATGGCATTACAGGCTTAATGATTTTAAATTTACCCACTTGTGCTATAAAAATTTTATTATTAATTTTTAACGCCATCTTGGAAGATTTCTACAATTATTATGATTCCCAAGCCGGGTAAAGACGATAATCAAATTACATCATATAGACATATTACATTGCTACCAATATTATCAAACGTTTTTAGAAAAATTCTTCTCCAAAGCTTAGCTCCGTTCCTCTATGAGCGACAAATAATCCCTGAACATCATAATAGCAGGAATGAGGTTGAGGCTGCTCTTCAGGATATATGACCCAATGTACCTCTTGAATTTAAACAAAATTTGCAACATTAATACAAAGTATTAATTTCCCCTAAAAAGTGTTAAATGTCAATTTATGCAAGTACAAGTTTTGTTTGGTCTTCGAAAATGTAGTTATTTTCAATTTTTAAATTTTGTGGAAAAAGCTGGAATTTTAAAAATTTCACGTCTCAACATGTACACATTGCGTGCAAAGTTTGGCGGCTCGTTAATTTCGAGAAATGACCGCATCGAATGGCCGGGTGGAGATTTGCAAATGGAGCCGTGGTGGCCATTTGACCAACATTTGGTTCAAATCATAAATGGCATAAAACTATTTGCATAACAAAAAACTGAACCCATTTCGAACAAATTTGAGTATTTTATTTAATTTTAACATCATGTCGTTCTGTTCCTTCAGTATGTACTCATTATATTAGTATGTATTAAGAATGCAAGCACCGTATTCTAGTCAAATGCCTACTAAAATTTTCAGTTAAAGATAAATCTTGAAATTAATTAATTTTTTAGTGTTTTTTTCTGTTGCCAATACAATATTCACTACTTTTACTACCAAATGGCATATCAGTAATGGAGTAATGGATATGAGTAATTGTTGATGCATATTCTATTGAGGTAACGCACAGGAAAAACGTCGTAAACAAGAACAAAAAACCCATAATAAAAAGAGAAAAGAAAGGAAATATTGCTACCCATAAACCCTTGGCGGAAAAAAAGTGAGTCCATTCCGATTTAATTTGCAAATAGAGACATTTTATGCGCATATGTACATGATATAACTGAAAAAGAAAAAAAAAAGAATATATATATATATATTATACGGTACCTGCCTCAGCTTATTTCGTGCCTCCAAACATACCGTTATATTCTTTCAAAAAAAACAAAAATTTCAAAGTTTAGTATTCCTACTTGCGATATTTTCAGCGGTACCCCTTGAGCTAATAAAGCAACAAGCAGGACCGCTTATAACGCATAAGCAAAGGCTAACAAAAACTCATATATTTTACAGATATGCATACATACATATGTGCAAATACCTATAATTTAAATACAAAATTTTTGGGCTTTAAAACTTTGCCGCGAAAAATATTAACCGCAAGTAACATCCTTTTAACAACATACATATATGCATACATAATCATATGGTACATACATAAATTAACTACTTCTAAAAGTTCAAATAAAAAATAAAAAATTACTGTTGTTCAAATACCTGCCTGCTTAATTCGTGTCTCCAAACACACCACTAGAAAAAATACAAAAAAAATTTTATAAGTCAAGTTCATCGACTTGCACACTTTCCAGCGATACCCCTTGGGCAAATAAAGCAACAAGCAGGATCGCTTAGAACATATAAGCAAAGGCAGAAAGAAAAAAAAACAACAATAACATTATCAGCATTTATGTATGTATGTACACATGTTTTCTTAAACATTGGCATATTTTCCGCGCAACATATATACCGCAACCCAACCTTTTTGCTCGTCTCATTTCTCTTATATATTCTCTTAAAAAATATAAATATAATAAATTAAATATATTAAAACTATATATATATATATAAATATAGGCACTCAGCAAAACTTTACAAAAACGCGTTACATGTATGCATGTACATATATGTATATGTGCACATGCCAATATAACTAAAAAGTACACGGTCAAAACGAATTAGCATATACAAACATATGAAAATTAAAAATAACATACATAGGTATGCAGATATATATACATTTGTTGTTAAGAACAATTTTATTTTCGCGTTCCTTTTAAACAAATGTATATAGATGCATATAATAAAAACGAATATACATACATACAAAATATTTAAATTAGTCGCGAGTGAATCGAATACCCAGTAAGCAATTTCGGCAATTTTTAAGATAATAATAATACGGACATACATTTTAATAAAATCTAAATTGACTTGGCCGATAAAAAACAAAAAAAAAAATTTTATAACAGACTAATTTTACAATCAGTTTCAACAAAAATAAATAAATTTTAACTACCACTTTGGCTAATAGCTTTCAATTTAATTCAAAGA